ACAGTGTAGTAGTAGCTGTCGTGTTTAAGGTAATTGTACAGTCTTTGTGGAAGGCACGAAGTGATGGAAGCCATCTGAAGCTTCAAAGCACCCTTGACTGGCATTTAAATTTGGTCAGCTGCATTCTTTGGAAGTCTTCGGCAAGGTTTAGAGCTCGTGCATTGAGTGCAGCTGTTGTGCTGAGGCTGCCTGGGCAGCAGCGTGCCACGAGGGAGAGGAAAGGGTGTGGGAGCCTTGATTGTGTAACAGCCCCTTCCTTCTCTGCCCTGCCCCAGCAGCCTGAGCTGTCGTGTAGGTAAGTGCTGTAAAGAGCTGAGTGTTCATATAGTAACAAAAACTTGATGAAAGTGCACACACGCTTCTTCAGTGACAATATGCTGCTTTTGGGCAGAGAAACAATCTGCGCATCATTCAGCGCGTTGTGTTTTCTCAGTAAATAACCAGCTTTTATTGAAGTTGCTTGATTTGGTGTGAACAAAAACTGATTCCATCCAGGAATGAAATATACTAACTCTAAATCATTTTGTATTTGCAGAGTACTGGACTTGACAATAGGAAGAATCAGAATAAAATGTAAGAGCCATGGCAGCACGCTGGAGGAGAATCCTGATAGTATTTGTGGCAGCTCAAGTACTATGTTTGGTAAATACCTTTGAGGAAGAGGATGTACCTGAAGAATGGATTCTTCTTCATGTTGTTCAAGGCCAGATTGGAGCAGGAAACTGCAGCTACTTGAGACTAAATCATGAGGGAAAGATAGTACTTCAGATGCAGAGTTTAAAAGGTGATGCGGATTTATGTATCCGATATGACTCTTCACCCCAGCTTTGACGAGTACGAGTTACAGGCTGTTACTTGTAGCCAAGACGTTGTCCACGTAGCAGCACACTTCCGCCGACCAGTGGGAATAGGGATTTATGGGCATCCCTCCCACCAGGAGAGTGAGTTTGAAATGAAAGTGTACTATGATCGAACAGTCGTACAGCATCCATTTGGCGAGGCTTCCTACAATCCAGAGGAGATGGAGACAACCCAGAAATACTCACACTCTACAGAAGATGAATCTCGGGATGAAGAGTCTGTTTTCTGGACTATACTTATTGGAATCTTGAAGGTAATACTTGAAATTCTTTTTTAAGTTGATACATGATGGACTAAATCACATTTCAGTTTGTGAAATTGAACATGAATAAGTTTCTATAATACTTAATACTCTTTATTGTTTCCTGAAGAAGTATTCAGTTTACTTTTTGTAAATCAGAAGGAAAGTGGTGGGGAGAAAAAAAGCCATATTTAATTTTATATTGTAAGTTTTTTTTCCCCTAAAAGTAAAATGAGCAGCAACTGTGCTATTTGCAATATTCTTCAGAGATCAGGGCTTAAAACTGAATGTAGAGCTGGGGATCTCTAAACAGATGCTTAGGAAAAATTAACTCTTAATGATTTTCTGTCATTAGTTTCTTGATAAAGAGTGGAATACAAACTGCTGCTCTGTAGTGCCCCCTCAATTTGGAGCATATTTAAAAATGAATCCTGCTCTTCTGACAGGTTACCTTCAGTATAACTAACAAGCAATGGCTTTGAAGAGTACTGAAGTTGAGGGATGTCGGGTGAAGGAAGAAAAAAAACCAGCTGAATAAGGGGATGGAGGGGCTATACTTTGACTGCTTGTGCTGTACATCAGTCATCTGTAAGCAGAGGCCTGTCCAGTCACTCACCACCTCTGAAAATCCATGACCTGAATGAAGTGCATGTTACTTCAGTATTACAGTAGGGAGGGAAAGCCTTCAGCTGTTGTTACTTGTCAGTAGAACATTCTCGTTCCTCATTAAAAGCAATGAGTATATAGTACCTTAAGCCTGAGAGGTATTTTCTTACATCTCCCTTTTATAGCTTTTTGAGATTGATTTTTTTTTTTTTTTAATGTTTACAGTCCCTTTTTTTCCCTGTAAATTTATATCAATAATTCATTAGTTTGCTAAGAAAATTTTTGCTGAAAGGAATTTTCAGAATATTGTAAGAAAGTCAGATTGTGTTCACTTTTTCCCTCAAAGTTAGTCTTTTCCAGGAGTACTTTTTGCCTTGTTTGAGTCTTTCAAATTAATTGCTATGCAAATGGTATGTATTTAAATTGCTCTGTAATTTTCTTTTCACAGAGCTTACAGATGAGTACACTGAAATAAATAAGTGTGGTACTCTAATTTTATACAAATGGTGCATGTGCCATTTAAATTTCATTATATAAAGCTTTTTCTTTTCGAACAGGAATTTGACTTTTTTGTCTAGATAGCTGACAGGACATGATTAGAGACTTGTCTCACAAGAATGGTCATATAGCCAAAATTAAAAGTTTATTTGATAAAAAGAAAAACACAGTGGTATTGTTCCCCTTAAAAGTGGTTGGTTAAATAGCACCAAAGTATCACTTCAATTTGTGCAGTTACATTTTGAAACAGCAAGGTTTTTTAGGGAAGTTTAGCCTTCCTTGCTGTTTTTGCCCCTTCTTCCTCCTCTTCTGGGGCTGGGAGGGTCTTTCTGACAACAATCACAAATCCAGCAACCTACGAAAAGAAAGTTATCAATTAATGGGAAACTACCTTTTTTGTATTCACTCATCTAGTTATGCACCTTTCACCATTTCAACAGGTTCTCAGCAATTTGTAGCACTTTGTTTAATGCATAAAACCAGCTCTTCTTTAAAATGTTAAGTATCTTTTCTAAAAGGTACAGAGAGCAGCATGTACAATTCACTATCCCTTGCAGACTCACTGCATGTAACAGTTACTTCAACACTTGTGGATCTCAAGAAGGGCCAGCACTGCTAAGGCAGTGGTTCTTAGAAAAGAAATGACAAACTACAAGGTTACAAGTTGGGTTTTCATAGGAATGACCACAGTTCAAGGTTATGGGTGGTTACAGCAGAAGAGAATGGCAGTTAAGAATGTTGCTATTGTGCCACAGGCTAGGAGGGCTTGTTTCCCAAACCAATGTGAGTTATTTCAGTGCAGTTGGGCAGCACAGATTAAAGTGCTGGCAGGGGCTCAGCACCAGACCTTGTGCTAAAACCTGTTAATGGAGGGAACGGTAACGGCTTGAGCAAAGAGCAGGAATATTAACTATTTATATTACAACAGCTGGAATCTCAAAAGCTGCTTTGCTCATTTTAAAGTTTTGTAGCAATATTATCTATTTTGCTCAGATTCTCTCCTTAAGTCAGAATGAAAGCTGAATCAGCCACAGAACCCGGACTGACATGAGAGCAAGCTCTAGTGCTTTCCCAAATGGGACTATATATTTGAGGTAGTAGTTACAGGGAATACTGTCGCTGAATACATCACCACAAACATACCATGGATTTAGTATCATGTGAAAAGCAGTGCTGCTACCAGTTATGCCTCTGAAGTTTTCTTTACAGGGCCTTGAGTTGGCCAGGAGATACCAATGAGCAGGTGATTCAAAGGTATAAGCTGCCTGAAATTTAGGTACCTCACTTCCAGATATGACATCTAAGAATAAAAAGGGCAAGGAAAGGTGTTCAAAAAGGTGTTTACAAATACTATATTAAGCATACTTTTTAATTTAGAAATTAAAATAATAGCACACTTTAT